ATCAACAGACAAATCTTGTGACTGTTTCAGCTTGTCCTTGGGTTATCTCAGCTACCTCCTATTCATTCTATACATGGGCAAGAACTCAGGTCCCCCAGTCATTGCTGTACCAGTAGGAAATTAGCAGAATTGGATCAAAGCACTCTTGAGGGCTGTAAAGAAGCCACAATCTCAATTATTTTGGCTTTAAATTATGAGAGTAATATTTTCCTGGTGTAAAGTGTGATAGGCTTTTGTTTATGTTTTTGGTATAATTTTGCAGTCAGCACAAACACATTGTGGAACAATTCCGCAGACAAAAATCAGAGGCACAGTGATGTTTTAAGACAGAACTAGTATTGTAAAGTGCTTGCAAATTCATGGTGGGTTTTCAGCCTTAGCAAATGAGGGGCAGGAGAGGCAGCTGAAGAAGCAAGTTAAACTGCAGCTGCCCCAGCAAATTCATCTATTTCTGGCTTTGCTATTCTTGCATTTCTTTGTTTTGCCTGAATCAGAAGAGATCAAGCTGGCAGGATTTTACATCTATGCTCTGCGTTTCCAGGTGGTTCACGGAGCCTCCTGTGTAGGCAGCACCTATCAGGACAGACTGGAGGGTATGGTGCCTCTTTTGTCATTTTACATTGAATCTCCCTTGGTCAGCAGGAAAAGTGGCTGTCAGTTTGAGGGCATGCCCGAGGGCCAGGCTGAGGGACGCCAGGTCCCCTGGGAGCCCTGATGAGCGCAGCAGAAATGTCAGTGGTAGGGAAGGCCCAGGTCATAAGGATGTCTAAACTTTTTTGATATTTTCTTGAACACTGTGAAATCAAGAAGTTCAGCACAACTGGACTACCAGTACTACAAGTTTTTGGCTTTTCCTATTTCCAGGCAGGCTGTATTCAGGAAAAGCCAAATTCTGGCCTCCTAACACCACTGATAAGAGCAAGGAAAAGAGACATGCAAAGCTGGAATACTCTTTGTAAAGGACAACCACAGAGATAAACATACTCCTGGGTTCTACAAAATATTCTGAATATAGGTGAAACTGTTATAGTTCATCTCATTTGCCTGTCCCTACTATCAATGAGTTACCTATCTGATATTTTAACAAGTACAGTGAAGCACATGAAAAGAGTGGATGGTTGGATAGGACAACAGTTATTCCTTATTCTGTGAAGAAATTAAAAAAACCCCAATATTTCAAATTCTGTCTCTGAGCTGTTCAGGTTTCAGGGTGCTCTCTTGCTTTTAAACAGTTTTGTACACAAAACAAGCTGAGCCTGCTAAGTAGGAATCACTTTGAAAATGTAACTTGAAATATGTCCTTGAAAAGGTGCTTTGCAGAAGATCAGGGAGACAAGAAGGAGCTGACACAACTTTTGGAGCAGCTGGCTCTGACCACAGCTCCATGAGAACTACAGTCTCCCCGACATGGTTACCACCGCTTCGACTGACCAAACAGCCAGACGGGCTGACTGAAGCAGTGAGGAAAGATGGTCACTTGATGAGATATGGCATAACACAGTTAAAACAAGTAAAGATGCTTCTGGATCTAATGCTTAAGCTACAGCCCAGGCGAAGTCAGTGGAAATATGTCTCTTGATTTCAGTGCAAGTTGAGTTATAACATATGTGAGTAACATAAATTCAGGTTTTGTGTCATGGCTGCAATGTCTGTTGATGAGAGCAGCAAGTAAGGAGGTCAACAGAAATCAGTGTTGAGGCTTATCTCTCAGTTAATGTGCTGAATGCTGGCATTAAAAGTGCCTGAGCAATCTTTTAGTTGGACAATACATAACCACTCAAAAAATACTGACAAAGAAAGTTCATTGACACCTTTTCACTGACATTTATATTTCCAGAACAGTGAGAAGAAGAAGATAAGGAGGGCAGAAGTCTAAAGAAAGGACAAAAGCTATAAGAAAGGGAATACACACTGAAGAATGTGTTGCCTAGTGAACAACCAGCGAGCCAGGTAAGATTTGATATTCAGGTAGAAGATGATCGTGAAGTCAAGCAACGAGGGATACTTGTGGTGCGGTTTCAGAACATGACAAACCATCAGTCGATGAATGCATGGTATTTACCTGCTGACCCCAACCCAGAAAAGTTCGCTGGGGGCAGCAAAGAAGCCAGTAGGACGGTACTAGAGATTCATCTTTATATCCAATTGATAGACTTCCATGGGGAAGGATAGGCATCTCACCAAAACAAACTGCTTTTTAACAAAATTAATTAGGGCAGGAAACAGCATGGATTTCTCATTTAAAACTATCTGTACTTCAGAGGAGTACTGGGAAGATGGAACTGCCAGGTTGGCAAGGCTTCAAAAATGCCTGCAAAGCCCTCTGTGAAGATCACTGCCATTATTAAATCATGTTATTATCCCACTGGTCCATGGAGTTTACAAACCAGAATTAAAAGGAAGATGTGGATCATTATGATGTATTTCAGAATTTCTTACATTTCTTATGTATCCTTTTTGGAAACATAGGCAGGAAACTTCTGGGTCACCAAATACAATTCCTGGGTCCTTCAGGCAATCGTGTCACCTAGAGGATTCATCCCCTATCAAACTCTTTGAAGATCTAATGAACATCTTTACTAATGTTAATGAGAATTGCTACTAATAATTTGCATTTACACACTACTTAAGGATCTTGAAGTGTTCTTTCATATAATATGCTCATTTTTATTACAAGCATATTGGATTTAAATGACTTGCCTAGGGTGTCACAGCAAGCCAGCAGCAGAATGACTCTTAGTGCTCCCAGTGCTTTGCATTAAATCCTGGACATTAACAGCTCCCTTCATAAAGGGAGCTTTGTAGCGGTAGATCACCTCCTGGTGCTGGTGGATCAAACCTTTTATGATAGCGCTAACAAATCAAGAAATTACTTGAACCCATGTAATGCTTCCCAGTGTCTGCAAATCCAGGCTTCCTTTGAACTTAGAAAATTGACACAAGTCTGAGTAATGCTAAGATAGCCTTTGGCATATGACCAACTATGAGATTTTGATGTGCTAAGTATGTACCTCAGGTCTATATTTTCTGTATGAATACAGCAGTAATCTCTACATTTGTTCCAGGAAAACTTCAGAGCTTTCACTATCCCATGTGCTGCTGGAGGCATATTTGAAAACAACAACAACAACAATAAAAAACCCAGCCCAAAAAGTAAGCCTATAATAAACAAAAATGCTTAACTTTTCTAGTGGCAGAATTGTTTGAAGAGCTTACTCTGACACGGGCACATTCCCTGTTATTGCCTTCCCCTCTGAACAGCACTGTCCTCATAAAAAACTAACTCTAAAAGGAGGGATTGGGGCATCCCTTTGTTTATGGGCTCCTTTCTGTCAAGAAATATGCTGTATCACAGAATGACCTGATTTTTCTGCCTGTGTCAATGTTATCATTCTCTCTAGAGAATTGAAACTTTGTTTTTTTCCCCCTACATTTGTCTCTCTCATCTATGCCTCCTATGGAAAGGGCTGCAAATCACACCCAGTGATTTCAGGATACGATTTTCCAGCTTTTGCCTGTGGCATCTGGCCCTTCCTGTGAGAAAAGAGCTATTTTGTGGCATGGCAATTGCTATAACACCAGAGGAACAACAACAGCTACAGCAATACTGATCCTGCTCATTGAAAGAGTTCCTCCAGCGTGGTGGTGGCCACCCAGGAGCTCTCACCTGTGGCAAGTGGTGACATTTACTCCTGCTGGGAATGTGGCTGGGCAGCCGAATGTTAAAGAGGGCCTGATGTGGATCATTATGATGTATTTCAGAATTTCTTACATTTCTTATGTATCCTTTTTGGAAACATAGGCAGGAAACTTCTGGGTCACCAAATACAATTCCTGGGTCCTTCAGGCAATCGTGTCACCTAGAGGATTCATCCCCTATCAAACTCTTTGAAGATCTAATGAACATCTTTACTAATGTTAATGAGAATTGCTACTAATAATTTGCATTTACACACTACTTAAGGATCTTGAAGTGTTCTTTCATATAATATGCTCATTTTTATTACAAGCATATTGGATTTAAATGACTTGCCTAGGGTGTCACAGCAAGCCAGCAGCAGAATGACTCTTAGTGCTCCCAGTGCTTTGCATTAAATCCTGGACATTAACAGCTCCCTTCATAAAGGGAGCTTTGTAGCGGTAGATCACCTCCTGGTGCTGGTGGATCAAACCTTTTATGATAGCGCTAACAAATCAAGAAATTACTTGAACCCATGTAATGCTTCCCAGTGTCTGCAAATCCAGGCTTCCTTTGAACTTAGAAAATTGACACAAGTCTGAGTAATGCTAAGATAGCCTTTGGCATATGACCAACTATGAGATTTTGATGTGCTAAGTATGTACCTCAGGTCTATATTTTCTGTATGAATACAGCAGTAATCTCTACATTTGTTCCAGGAAAACTTCAGAGCTTTCACTATCCCATGTGCTGCTGGAGGCATATTTGAAAACAACAACAACAACAATAAAAAACCCAGCCCAAAAAGTAAGCCTATAATAAACAAAAATGCTTAACTTTTCTAGTGGCAGAATTGTTTGAAGAGCTTACTCTGACACGGGCACATTCCCTGTTATTGCCTTCCCCTCTGAACAGCACTGTCCTCATAAAAAACTAACTCTAAAAGGAGGGATTGGGGCATCCCTTTGTTTATGGGCTCCTTTCTGTCAAGAAATATGCTGTATCACAGAATGACCTGATTTTTCTGCCTGTGTCAATGTTATCATTCTCTCTAGAGAATTGAAACTTTGTTTTTTTCCCCCTACATTTGTCTCTCTCATCTATGCCTCCTATGGAAAGGGCTGCAAATCACACCCAGTGATTTCAGGATACGATTTTCCAGCTTTTGCCTGTGGCATCTGGCCCTTCCTGTGAGAAAAGAGCTATTTTGTGGCATGGCAATTGCTATAACACCAGAGGAACAACAACAGCTACAGCAATACTGATCCTGCTCATTGAAAGAGTTCCTCCAGCGTGGTGGTGGCCACCCAGGAGCTCTCACCTGTGGCAAGTGGTGACATTTACTCCTGCTGGGAATGTGGCTGGGCAGCCGAATGTTAAAGAGGGCCTGCAGGGCCGCCTGCGCCGCTTGCCCCTTGGCCAGCTTCTTGCTACGACCTGAGCCTTCAAATGTTCTCCCGTCCACTCGCACCGCCATCACAAAACTCTTGATGTGCTGCTTCTCCACCGTCTCCGACAGGCAGACGTACCGCAGGCCTGACCGCAGCTCATTTAGCAGCACCACCGGGTTCTTCTCGCTCTCCGCTTTGGACGCCATCTTGTGCTTGTTTTGCTTACCGTGGCCCATTAAGTCCAGCGTATGGCAGAGTAAGCGCCCATGCCGATAAGCGGTGGAAAGCAATTCGTTATTAACGGGGTTATAGACTGAAAAGTCCTCGCTGTGTGTAGATGGTTCAAACTCCTTGAACAGAGTATCTGGAAAGTCTGCCTGATCGGAAGTAAAGTCCGTGGATGGGTTGATGCAGTTTCCCATGGCAAAGTGAGCTTGGCAGGCGTTGGGGAACTGAACGAACGACTTCAGAGCTAGCTCTGCAGCACGCATTTTGGCTTTCTTTTTTGTGGGCCCTGTGCCTTCAAACGTAAGTCCATTTACTTCCACAGCGACAGCAAAGACTGGAGCATGCACTGGACCTGTCTGGGAAACCATTTTATATTGTAAACCTGGTTTAAGTTCATGTAGCTGAACCAGAGCGTTCTTTGGCGTCACTGACCATGAGACTTTCTTCCAGATGAGTTGGAGTTTGCAGAAATGGCCATTATTGCCTTCCTCTAAAGGTCTTTTTCTCTTACTGCTAGATGTCCCCCCTCTTGCCCTCTCATTAGAGGATATTGGATGATCCTCCAGGTTGCCAATGTTCCGATTTTCCTTTACTTCTGCACTGCTGGTACCTGTCAGTAAAGAAAGAAAAAACCTCACATTACAGTTGTCATCATAGTAGCTGACATTATGCCTAGGGCTGGCAGAATAGCCAAAAAAGAAAAAAACTTAATGACAGATATCCTTGCTTAGTCCTTTTTGGGGTTTTTCCTCAAATATCTGTATAATGGTGGGTTTATTATTTATAGCACAGATTTTCTGCATGTCCTGAATGTTTACTTGTCTCTAAAATTCTACTTCTATTAGTCACCAGCCTCCTGTTTTAAAAAAAGATTACATCATTCAAAGACAAAGCATAACTGATGTCATGTGACTTAAATGAACTACCATATTCATCCTAGATAATTACTAGTAAAAAGTGAATAGTTTTCAAAGTTCCCTTAGGCTGAGATTTGTTCTATAATCCATGTGGGTGAATGCTTATGGACAAATTATTAGAAATCAGGAATGATTCACAAATGATTCACAAGCAGAAAAATGGGCAAACACATTGAATAATTTATTTGCAATGAATACATTGACTGGCTCTACTCACACCATAGACTCTTGTGTTTCTAACATCATGAATCCAGCCTAAGAAACGATCTGACAGGCTTTCCTAGCATTTGAAACAATAATTTGGTCTGGACTCAGACTCCAGTTTAATAAGTGTGAATCTTTCTGTCAAATTCAATTGCAGATACACTTAGCTCCTGCATCAGCAACAACTAATATTGCAAAAATTCTAGATAAATCTAAATGAAACTAGAAAAAACCAGGGCATCATGACAGGAGTAATTACTGATGTAAAGAATGATCTATGTCAAAGAAAATCAATGGGAGGGAGTGACTGCCAGGAGCGCCAGGAAGGGAATGAAATGCCAGTGGGGAGCTGTGGAGGCAGCATGCCATTGCTGTTGAGCCAATGAATCATGCACTGCTCTGAACTACGCTTGTGCAACGCCCGTGCTGGGAGGCACTGCTCTTTGCTACAGCAGGTGAACAACTGAGGACGGGGATTCATCTCACTCAATGCGACAGAAAACGTGCTGCTGTCTAAGTACGCGTGTTATAACATTTCTGTCATTTCTGATGAGTTTGTTTAAATGTATCGCATTTCTGATGCATCCTCCAGTCCTCCTGCGTGTTGCTTGGGGCAGAGGCAAGTTGAGGAAGTAAACATGAGTGTAAGCACCCCGTGAAGCAACCCATCCCTGGAGCGATGCACCTGATCCCTTCCTGAGCAGAGCACTGCCTGCTGCCTTCCAACCAGCACTCTGCGTGGAGCCTTCCCCGTGCTTTGCTATTGCCAGAGAGCAGCGTGCCACCTGTGCAGGCTGCCCGAGTCCCAGGCACAGACACTGTGCTCCTTAGAGGACACAGAACGGTCCTCTCGCTTTCTGCAGGACCATGGCCATATTTGTCTTCCTCTCTACCCTGGCTGCAAGAATGTACTGGGTGACCTGCTGGCTATGCCCCGAGGAGCTTCTGCTGGAGCAGTGTGTCTTTGCCACAGCCCAGTATCAGGCTGGGCTGGCAGATGCACAGGAGCCTGCAGAGAATTATGTGGAACCAACCATCACAATTAAAAACCTCCTCTATAAACTGATGAGTTGCACTTGCATTGAATATCAAAAGACCTTTTCCCATCAGAGCAGTAAGTCTGCACTCAGGCACGTTGTTCCACAGAGAGCAGCTGACCATGTGGATGAGAGTACAAATCATGGCTGCATGGCATGTCTGGGGGCACGTTGGCAGGACTGAGTCTTTCGGCTCCCTTTCCTGAAAACCCTTCGGTACACACTGAGCTTCCAGCCTGTGTCTGTGTCACCCCAAAGTGGCTCGCAGAGCTGTGCGCTGCAGTGCTTTGCTGAGGCAGAACGTGAACTGACAAATTAAGGTTTTAGTGACTAGTTAATTTTTACTTTCTGAAACTAAGGGGAGAGAATGAAGACAGGTGAGGAAGAAAAGAAAAAGAAATACATAATAGAAAAAGAAAAATTTCATCATATGGCATTCAGCTGTATAAAATGTGACACGTTTAAACCAGCCTCTCTGGAAATAAGACATTTAAAAGGTCAGGTTAACTAAGACACAAGGATAATGTGGTCTTTTCTCATTGACTTCACAACTCTATTTATGGAAGCTCTGATCTGAGAGGGAAGGAGATGCCAACTTTAACTTTGCTCTGTTTACCCTGGTAGTGGCTTTGGCCGGCCATTTTCCACTGTGACCATCTCTTGTGTTTCCATCCCACTCAGAATACACCTCTTTGGTAGCATACATTTTTTAAAATGAAGGTGAAATATTTTGACTCAGACTTTTTTTTAACTTTTGGTTCTGTATTTCACACCTCCTCTCTCATCTTACCTAATAGGTTTTTACAGAGCCAATTATGGTACATAATGATATTGTAGTCAGGAAGCATGAAAAGAAAGATAGCTCTTGCTTCACACTATATTCAGGTTTGAAAAGAATTTGTATTGATTATGCACCACTGAATAGGAAAACTCAAGGGGTTATTTGTATTTATAATTCATATCGTCTTATTCCATCTGCTTTTTCTTTCATAGTCAAAGAACCACGGATTTGTGAACATGAATGTATGACCTTAGCATCTTACCTTAATCACCCATACTAAAACTGTGGTTAAATAAAAACATGGCAACATAAAATAAACATTACTTTTTTTCTTAAATTTTGTCTATGAAGTTGTCTAGTGCAGGTTTTGGTCAATGGGGACTTTTCCCTGATGTAGTGAAAAAAATGCAGAGATACAAGTGTAAAACTTCCAGGGATCAGTCACAAAGGATACATGCAGAACACTGGGCGTGCGTGACGGTGACGTGTCTGCCTTTATGGTATGTTTTGGCCTAGTCACAGTGTAGGAAATCCATGAAAGTATCCTTACAGTCAACCAGATTTCTAGAGGATCTGGTCCTGAAACACCAGGAAATAGCTCAGTTCTTCACAGACCTCAGTGAGAGCGGCAGCAGGCCAGAAGTCACTGTGGCATGTAAATCAGAGGGAGCCTAAATTCAGTGAGTGCCTCAGAAAGTCTGTGAGCCTGATGGACTCCTGTGATACCTGCCAGCAGCCGGGCAATGTGAAATTACTTTATACTTTCAGGTATCTTTGAAATAGGAGGTCTTTGAAATGTGTCTTTTATGAGACCTCTGTGCAGCAGACATAAGATTACCTCTGTAATGGTGGCACATGTGCTTCTATTGTGAAAATCAGACAAAGCAGGCAAATGACACCAAACTATGTAAGATAAATACTGTAAGCAGCTGTAATAGAACAATCACAAGCAATTTTAGAAATGAAGAGCAGTAAAAGGAAAGGGGTAAGTCAGAGGATGAACACAGGGAAAATGCAAAACTATGGATCATTTTCAGTCCTGTTATCTCTCATAATGTCTTTGCTCTTGAGTTCCCAAAACACAGTCTCTACATTTGGAAATAATAAAGATAATAAAATATGGTTCTCCTATGATGAAAAGTTGGAGGAGAATAAAATTGTAATGGGAGGGAGTTAAAAAAAAAAGGGGAAAGAAAAATATTACAATTTTTTTGGCAATAGTTTCTAACATAGTGTGTAAGATTTCTAGAAAAGCCCCACACCTCTGCACTGTAGTATCTCCTCAGGTAACTTTATTCATTGATTTTTTGCAGTTTCACAAGCAAGAAGAGGCATTGCAATCTTGTACTTGCTTCAGTAATTGGATGGGAGAGAGGAAAGCAGTTAGTGAAATATATTTATTTATGCATTATTCCTCAATCTTCTGTCTGCTCTTTCATGTTTTTCTCCTTTTGGTCATTATGCACAGTAGAGTTAACCTAGAGAGTCTGCATCATCAAGAGCTTTTCAGAACTATAATGCATCACTAATAATGACACTACCTATGTCTGTGGGTCATAAGGGCTCTGCAGAACTAGCCATCCGATACTCCACGCTACATTTAAAGAGATAATATTGTTCCTGTTGAAGGTTATCCGCTGCCAAGCCAACTTCTAGGGAGGATGGGAAAGGAGAGGTGGTAGGTGGCATCTTCATTTTGCCTGGCCATCTTTACTATTGAATTACAAGGGACAGTACATTACTGAAAAGCTATGATATTGAAATAAATAATTTTCAGTCTCTGTAGTACAGCAAACCTCTGATTTAACTGATATCTCTGACAGAGGAAGTTACTCTCTTTAGAAATTTTTAATAAGCACCAGATTGTTACCAACACATTTTCAACAATACACGGAGGATTTAATTTTTACTTTTCTGTATTTTAATGTCTAACCCTCGTTTGACCTGCTTATGTAGAGTACATTTTTTGCTGTCCCTCTACATTACTTTGACTGCAGAGGTTAGAAGGATTGACCTCTGTAACTCCTGGCATACTTGAAAGTGAAAAAATTTAAAACAGAAGTAACAGGTATGAACCAAGGAGCCAAAGCCATGGTACCTGTGTCCAAGGTCAGCTACTACATCAAATGCAATGTAGGGCAGTTTTCTCTTGCAAAGAAGATGGCATTTTCATACACTTAATCAATCCACAATGGAGGATTGGGAACTCTTCTGCTGGGGATTTTTAGGTTTGTATTCTTGACTTTAGAATAATAAACTTGTAGCTAACAACAGAAATCACTCCTCCTTCTCTTATATGAAAACCTACATATATGCATTCTTAAACCTTCCTGAAAGAAATCTACCTAAGGGAAATCTGCCATGATGTATTTGTTGCTGCTGAATCCTCTCCACCAACTCACAGGCTTCAGGCTGTTTAAAACAAAACCGTTAGCCTTGGTGTGTAACACCACGCTGTGAAGGGAAGCATTTCCAGTGCAAAAAAGTACAAGACTTTACTTAAACTGAAGACAGAAAATTTGTGAAAGGTAATTGTCATTGCCTCTAGCTCTTCCAGAACGAAGATACTGTGCTTCGCCCACCTTATTATCTGAAATAGCTGTGAAATCCATGCACATCTAGTATCTCTAACCAATTACAGAAATTAAGTACATGCACTCCTGAATGAGGACCAGACTATAGCTTAGCTTGAGGAGTGGGAGAAATCCAAACGATGGCAATAGACACAGTTTTAAAAACAAAACAAGAGTTTTTGATTCTGTAGGGGATTGTATGGGGCTCTGACTGCTGGAAGGGGATATTCACTGTCTTCTTAGAGGCAGGGTCCCTGCTGTATATCATACTGTGCAATTAAAAGCTCTGAGGGTCATGCTGCCTGAGGGGGACTTTGACCAACACAATACAATTAATTCATTCAATACAATGGAGCTGGGGCTGGGATTCATCCTACAAGACTGTGGCGGTGGCTGAAATCTGTATGTTGGGGACCATCACCACCAGGTCCCTCTGGAGACCCCGGGGGCAGATGTATGCCTGCAGAAGGGAGATGCGTCCAGTCTGTGTGTACAGCAGCATTGCACAATGAGAATCATACGCTCCTGCTAGAGGTGCACCCTCAGTTTGCAAGCACCTGTGCCTGGTGACAGCCTGCCTTGATGCCGTAGCATAGTGTGGATGGAGCGATTAAAGATCAGGGAAAGGCAGAGGTCTGTAACATCATGAAAAGCAGGCAGGCAGTGAACAGGGAATGATTATTCTCTGTTTCATGCAATCCAAGCACTAGACACTGCAGCTTGAAGCAATAAAAGGGTGCATTTTTTGACAACACACTAAATCACTGAACTCCCTGTTCCTGGTTGTTGTTGAGATCAGAAGTATCAGTGGGCTCTGGAGAGGACCAGACAGGTCTGTTGATGTCTAAGATAGGATGGTTCAGGTGCAAACTCTAGCTGAGTATATTTCTTGCTGGGTGCTAGGAAGTTATACTGAGGGGAAGATCACCGTTTAAATGTCCTTCTTCTCTATGCACCATTAACAGCAAATGTTGAAGACATTTGTTAAGAAAAGAGCTAAACTTCCTATTTCTAATCCTGTGTGACATTTCTTACATTCTTAGGTATGATCAGCTTCTAGAAATGAATAGGGTGGTCCTTATCTCATGGATTCAAGATAAGGTCCTCATCAGAGACTGATTATTGGTTTACTCAAATGCCATTCCAAAGGCACCTAGTGCCTTCGATACATTTTTCTAGCATTAGTTCATGGATCATAAACCACAGTAATAGTGTCTATATGCTAATAATAACCAGTTGAAAGTGCATGTGTAGTTAACCCGGCATGGATTGCAACCATCCTCTGCTACCAGTGGAGAGCAACTGTTTTCATTTGCATCACTTGCCTTTCTTGGGTTTTATTTCTTTTTCTTATTTTCATTTTCAAGTTGTTGTTGCTGTTGCTATTATCATTATACTTTATTTAAATTATTAAACTGTTTTTATCTCAATCCACAAGTTTTCTCACTTTTACACTCCTGATTCTCTTCCCTCATCCTTCTGGGAGGTGGGGAGAGAGTGGCTGTGTGGTGCTTAGTTGCCAGCTGGGGTTAAACTACAGTCCCTTTGTAAAAAAGGCCTAAAGGAATGTGAAACAGGATTTGAATCCATTTCAGCTAGTGGGACTCTGCTTATCGTGTCTAGGAAGGGGCTCTCTCAGTGAGCAGAAAACTAAAAACCACTTCTCTGCCTTGCTAGCATTCTCCTAGACTGCTGTTGTTAACACAGAAGAAGGTTCTTCTGCTTGTTCAGAGCAAAGCACTGAAGCTCTTTAAAATGCCAAATTGCTACACAATTACAGGATGCTATAGAAACCAGTGGGATTTACACTATACTACACTAGAAGTGAACACTGAAATATGGCTGTTTTCAAATTAATTCATCTTTTTCTTTTCTTCAGATGCTAATAGTAACACCTAAAAATGTGTTGTATGTTCCAAGAAAAAAAATTGCTATCTTTATCACTGGAGCGTATGTTTGACCCAAGAGAGGACTAGGCAGGATGTCCCCGAAAACAGTGAAACTTGCTATTTCAGAAGACACAGCTTACCCTGTCCATGTCAGCTATTTTAAAGGCAGTGCAGGCATGAAGCAGTCTTGGCATTACAGCAGCAATAAGAAAATGGTGTTACAGTGTTTGGCTTGCACAAACTTTCTACATTACCTAAAAATAACTAAGCAGCACATTTGGGAAACATTACGCAGGATCTGCCTGCACAAGCTCATCATGTGCATATGTTTCCTGTGTGTACTTCCCGTATCTTTTCCTGAAAATGTAGCCTCTATGGGACCAATTCTGAAGGTTTTTCAGGATTTTTTCTTTTACTTTATTTTTTCCCTTTGCTAAGATATGTAAAAACCTGTCAGTCCCTGTGCAGCAGAAGGGTGTGATGTCCACGTGCTACTCGGCAGCAGAAAACAGAGGGATGTGCTCCCTCATTCCTTCAACTGCTATTCCCCTTGGTCCCACACCGTGATCAAACCACGGCAGATTAGCAACAACAGGGGAGAAAAGCCCATTCCTCCCACCCACAGGCTCTAATAGGGCAACATGACAGTTTGTGTCTGGCTGGAAAAGAAACCCATCTGGTAGGTGATACTATAACTCAAAGAGTTGCTCATTTGGTTGGAAAAGCTTCACTCCCTTTTTTTAATGACTCAAGATGCCTTACGACAAGCAGGGCTGGATACCACACAATAATTTCTCCTGGGTGAGGAATGGGAGGGTTTACTGAGGGTTATTCAGTCCTAACCACACAATCCCAGACTTCTTGGTGTTTTGAAGGATTCACAGCTCTTTCAAACCCAGCAGCGCCTTCCTCCAGCTCTAATACTCAGGGAGTACCCATGACTTTGTTCAGGTGTAAGGGCCCAAGAGAATCCAATCGCTAATTTTTGGGTTACATCAAGTTCATTTAAAACTGGTTACTCATCTCTTCTCAAGTGGATTTTATTTTATTTTTTCCTCCCCCTCCAGGTCATATCACAGAAGTAAAAGAGAAAACAGTTTTTCAAGTAGAGGGTTTGTTCCTGCAGCCTTTACTTTTACGAAAGTCCTTTTGTAATCAAGGAAATAGAAACTGGGGGAAGACACTTGACCAAAAATATCCCATCTTTTAGTGACTGTGAGAAAAGCAAGTGAGCAAAATAAGTTAACATAAACAGGAAAGGAAAAGTTGCTCCACAGTCCAGTAAACCTGAGTGTAAACATCTCCATTTTGTAAGAGGTATTTCCTTTGAAAAATGGCACACCATTTACAGCCCTCTTTGACAGGGTCTGCATAAGGAAAAGTGGGAAGGTGAGCTGAGATTAACCCCTCCTTTGCCAGAGACTGGAGAATCTGTTTGCACTCAGCATCATGGAATTTTGAAATTTACAAATTTGTATTCACTGGGTTATGGCTGGCAATATTTGCAAATCCATCTCCTTTCCACAATCGCCCCTACACTGTAGAGCTTTTACCTTTAAACTTGATAATTCATCTGCCTATAAAGAAAAACGGCTGCTTACTTAAATTGTCTTCATCCTCCATGGTGGTTGCTCCAGGACTCAGGTACTTGAAGGGCGCTATGAAGGTTGACAGTATGCTTACTTTTTCTAGAAGAAAACAGAAAAAAAGAGACATATAAAATCAGCATTTTGACAGTGCATTCTGATCTAGTCCACACTTTTTCTCAGGTGAAAACCTCTTGCCAAGTCTGTTTCCTTTTTGTTTTCCCTGACTCTATAACCACACCTAAATTCACAAAACAGCAATACATTTCTTTCAGCTGGCACATGCAGGTACCAAATGCATGTCCCTTCTGGTTTCTGCCTCCGTGTAGTGCTCTTTTCCTGTGCTTCCCAGCATGGTGCCTGAGCACTTCAGAGCTGGCAGTGCAGGAGGCTTGAGCAGGTCCAGCTGGGAACAGGGGAGGCAGTCGGTCCTGGGAGGAGGGACATGAGAACTGCTCTAATGGATGAGACCGTCAGCTCACCTCCCCTTATGTCCTCGCCCTGACAGAGCTGAACCAGAACTCTCAGAGAAAGCTCAAGTGTTGGTGGCACAAGAGACTACACAATCTTCGAATCCTATAAATTGTTGATTTGATATTTTTTGGAAAACCTTTATGATGTGCACAGGAAACTGTTATCCAAACAATTAAAACCTACTAAAAATCCTCCTTATTCACATCCATACTTAGTGCAGTTTCTTCTACCTGCAGTTTCTGTTTATCCTGCAGACAACAGATGACACAAATGTTTACTTCCAGTGCCATGATCAGCCTCTGCATTAGATCCCAGGACAGATTCAGCAAAGTAAGAACTGATACTGATTTATACCAGCTGAAAATTTGGCTCAGGATTTATCTATAGGGAAAAGTTGCTGTTAACATAAACACTAGAAACAGGAATATATTGTTTTATTTAGTTTGTTAACTAGTTTACTTAGTTTGTTGCTTAGTTTGTTTAGGCTGAATTTTTCCTGACAATCTGCTGGGGACCAACATTAACAGAATGTTTAGCTAGCAGAAGATATAGAAATACACCTTACAAAGGTAATTCATAGCTTTGAAGTACTTAATTGCTTTCCTAAAGTACTTCTCTGCTTAGAAAGCCTCTGTTAGTGGAAATGCTCAGAGTCCTGCACATTGTGAACAACACTGGCCTTTCATCTTGAGGCAGAAGCATCAAAACAAAACCAAGAATGTCTTCTTTCAAGTGACACGGGAAAAATGATATCGATGGGGACTTCCTTTACTGGTGAGAAAATATTTCTCTAAATTTCCTTAAACTACCCGGCTGCTTATCTACCACTGGTCTGGATGGCATTCCAGATGAAGAGCTCTTAAACTTTTTCTAGCAGAGCGTCTGTTAGCTTTTTGGCCTTGTTCTTCCTACATTTGCAAATAATCCTTGCTCTTGTTAAAGACTGTTATCAGAATCCATCAATGCAGATGTTTGTCCTTAGTGAGGTAACACTACAGCTCAACTCTATTATGAGAAATCACAGTAAAAGCTGACTGCTCTTTGTTAAGTAAATACAATAAACAGAATAAAAGATTGCCTGAAGAAAACCTTTTTCTGTCCAGAAATCTTTCAGCCCAGACTAATATATAGCTAGAGTACAAATTAGCCTCCTTGAATTGCAGTTTCATTAAGGGATATTAGTGATGTCAGAAACCAAAAGAATGAAGCTGTTTAAGAACACTTTAACCAAAGATTTTCTTAAGTGAATACTTTGATACCTTTTGCTAAGGTGTTGCTCACTGAGAAATGTGTTGTCTCTCTCTGTACAACACTATCTCAGCGCATGTGAGACTGTTGGGTTGTGATCGGGAGAAAGGCTGTTATTCACTCCTGACTTTTCCAACTGGTTTCTTTGATTAAAGTGAAAAAAGTGTAGGCTTTTGGGACTGAATCCAAAAGCTACATTTGGTAAGGGGAACGCTTCAGATGATAGACGTAGGATCAGGGCAGCCCCTGGCTTCAGCACCAGCGCTGACTGTTGTGTAGGGCTATTGAGATGTGGTGAGCTGAAGTGTTCTCCGCCTGTGCCTGACTCCTGGCAGCTGTCAGACCTTCAGGACTAACCCTCAAGACACTGGATGGATATTGTACACAAACTTAAAGCTTCTTCACTAAGAAAACACTTTCCCTTCTTGTAGAGAGTTAATCCATTCACCAAGCAATGAAGACCTGTGCTTTCTCGCTGAGGTTGCTGACGTCTACTCCTGCCACCAATCAAAAAGCAAACCCATGGTTTTATACCATACTATTGTTGGGTAAAGGAATATTCTATGATTGATCTTTCACTCCAACCCATTTTGTGCATGCAGTAGGCCAGATTTACAATGTGAATTTAAAATGTATCAAATTATTTTCCCTTTTGCCCTAAGGGACCCTTTAGCCATCTGAAGCTTTTTTTGTTACTGCTTCCCACCTGTCTCCAAAGACTTTGCCCATGCCTCTGCTTTTTGTGGCAGAGAACTAGGATGGCCTGAAAAATTTACTGCACTCTTAAAGGCACAATGGATGGGCTCACAGAATCACAGAATCACAGAATTGTAGTGGTTGGAAGGGACCTCAGAGATCATCGAGTCCAACCACCAAAAAAAAAAACCAAAAAGAACCCAACAAACACACACACCAGCTCCCACCACCTAAACACACAACAACAACCTCCAAACCAAAAAACCATCACCCACCCACACAACACCCCACCACAAACCAGTAATCTTGGGCACTAGAGCATGCCCTGAAGAACCATGTCTACACGTTTCTTAAATACCTCCAGGGATGGTGACTCCACCACCTCCCTGGGCAGCCCATTCCAATGCTGGATAACCCTTTCAGTAAAGAAATGTTTCCTAATATCCAACCTGAACTTCCCCTGGCGCAACTTGAAGCCATTACCCCTTGTCCTATCATCTGTAACTTGGAAGAAGAGACTGACCCCCGTCTCTCTACAGCCTCCTTTCAGGTACTTGTACAGAGCGATAAGGTCTCCCCTCAGTCTCCTCTTCCCCAGACTGAACAACCCCAGTTCCCTCAGCCTCTCCTCGTAAGACTTGTGTTCCAGACCCCTCACCAGCTTCGTTGCCCTTCTCTGGACCCGTTCCAGCACCTCAATGTCCCTCTTGTGGTAGGCTCGTGTCAACCAAACTCAGGCAGGCCCTAATAACAGGATATCCTTCGATCAATACAGACGACAAAGATTATAATTGAGTATTTCAATCCATTGGTTGAGCAATGGAAGATTTAGTGTGTGTCTGGAAGGAGGAAGAGGGCAGGGTTTTGAGTGGGCAATGTAAGAGAAGGGCTGTGGTATGCATGTAGTACAGATGAATTATCGAGCCTGTGGAGGAGGGGAAGGTAGATGTCAGGATAATTAAATGTAAGTCAGGGAAAGAATCTGGCTAGGTATAAAACTATTCGTATGATTGTGCACTTCCATCTTTTGGATGTTATAGGCTACTACCATACATATACCATAGAATACTACTTCAGCTTTATTGTCAACGGTGAAATTCAGAAGAAGATTAGCACAATTGTGTATTCACACTTTGTGGTCCCTGTATATTTTAATGTCCATCACAATTAGTCTTATTTCCAGCAGTTTGATGAAATCTTAAGAATAAAGGACATAGCTGGATATGAAAAAAACAGTTTCTCAGAGAAATACCTTTAAAGCTTAATTTTTTCTCCCACTCCCTTCTCCTTCTATGTTTGGGTTTTTTTGTTTGTTTGTTTTTGTTTTTGTTTTTTCCCAAAAAGAAGTAATGACAGGTATCCCAAAATTAAAGCAGCTGTTTTTACTTTATAGTTGTAAATGTTCACTCTGTTTGTCTGAGGTAACTATTTTTCAAGGCTATGAGAGAGAGTCTTAGAGGACAAAACAAGACATTTCAAAAACTCTTTTCTCCAGAAAGGCAGAATACATAACCCTACATTTATAAGAACCAATACAAGGAGCTATTATTCATTGCATTGCAATTGTAGCACAGATCTCTGATGACATGAAGGAGTGATTTCCTGAGGGCCTACACGGACACAAAGGAGGCTGTATTTACAGTGAAAATTGAGAGACAAAGACCAGGTATAGCGGGATTTATTTCTAGCCAGCCTGGAACACTACTGCAAGAGCAATAGCATCACATTTTATAGTGTATTCACTATAAAAGCATCCTTCCAAGTGATGCAAACTGGAACTTTGTTCCAGTACCCCAAGCACAAAGATCACCATTTGTCCTGATGAGAAGTCCATTATAGGAAGAAACTTCACTCTCCTCTGTTTTGGGTAGAAAAGGATTTGAATTCATGCTTCCTAAATATATATGTTCCAAGAACAGCAAATAGTTAAAAAATAATCATGAACACTATTTTTACGGTAGCCATATAAATTATTTAAATGAATAAAAAAAAAAATTGGCTGAGATATGTTTTGTACGAAAACCAGAACATTATTTAGTCCAAATGACTGGCATATAAGGTAGTCAAGTTTCCACTAAAATCTGCCCTTTTTGTGAGTTTGCTCTTGCCTTCTGGATGCAGCCAGAAGACTGGTCAAAGGTCCTGTAGATACACTTTTATCGTGAAGACAAGAATACACATATACAGCTGGAAAGAACATTCATGCCCTTCATACCTCTCAGTATTTAGGGGGAACCAGACAATATGGCTTGATCATCAAACGTACTGAAGTTCTTTCACTCAATCACCTCAATAAAAGCAATGGGAATGGCAGGAGCTCAACACTTTTAAAAATCGTGCCTTATATGTTGGACAAATTGTTTAGTGTTAAGAAAAGCAGACTGAGTGGGGTCATAACAACAGTCTTCAAATACATTAAAAGCTGCTGCATAGAAGAAAGGAGCAAACTGTATTCCATGTGCATTAACGCAACCAGAAGTAATGGACTTAAATTGCACTAAGGAAAATTCACTTTAGACATTAAAAAACCCCTTCCTACCATTAATGATAGTACAGCAGTGGAATAGATTTTCTAGTGGGGAGGTGGAGGAGCCATTGGTGCTGAAGGGCTGTAGGAAGATGGTTGGTATCTGCAGGGTGTTGTGCCTGTCCTTGGGCCCGTCCCTTATAGTCTCTCCTA